CGCCAAGAAAAAGAAGGTATTTATATATTCATGATGTTTTTATGTCGATAAACATGTTTATGTCTTTACGTTTTTTTTTTTGATTGTGCACTTCTGTAAATTATTTATAATTTTGACTTGTATTATTTTTCGAGATTTTTTATTTAGACCTGTGTAAAATTTTCCAGAGTTTTAATTTTTTATAATTTTGAATGTGTATTGATTCTCCATGCTTTTGATTGTAGTTGATGTTTCCTTTTATCAATTTCCAGATTGTTTCTTGATTATTTCCTGGGCAATTGGGTCGAATTTGTTGTTTTAAAGTATTTGAAAGTATTTTTTTTTTGGAATTTTAGGTAAATCGGTCGGCCAAATTGAAGCAGTGCAAGCTTGATGCTCGCCGCGAGCAGTGGCTTTCTCAAGGTTCGTCAAGTGTAGATGTGTACATATTCATTTTTAATCTTATTGCATGTTATTGTGTTTGGGGTTTTATGATTTTATAATTCTGTGATTTTTATTGGATAAATTATTTAGATATGGATATCTGTCTAACATGCTACTAAATTTTGATTTTCAAAATTCTTTGATGATTTTGTGGTGATGGGCATCTTTACTTTTATAGTGAAGAATAAGGCTAACTTTAAGGAGGAGTCAAATGGTGGAGGGATGCATGGAGGATCATCAGTTCTCATGGAGAAGGAGAGCATCCGAGCCATTGAAAAACTGGAGATTAAGCCGAGAGAGGTGCAAGAGAATTATGGAGATGGATTGCAACTGCATCATTACAGTGATTCTGAATCTTCTCCATCGAACAGCCCCACTAGCCACACCAGCAGTGTCTTGGGCAGTAGTGATTCCAGAGCCAATTTTACCGGGAGCAGCAGCAGCAGCAGCAGCCGAAGCAGTAGTGGTAGTAGCAATGGATGTTGTTCTGAAAGTATGAGTGAGGAAGATGAAGGGGATGACGATGCCTGCTTGGATGATTGGGAGGCTATGGCTGATGCCTTGGCTGCCACCGATGACAAGCAACAACAACATAACCCCGATTCAGGATTGGATTCGTCGCCTTCACAGAAAGATGTATATGCTTCCCAGTCAGATTCTCGATCAAAGGTAACAAACCAGTCTGCTTTTGAGCTTGATATTTCAGAGCCAGAGCGAGAGAATCAGGGAATGGTTGCAGAAAGGGTTCTGTGCCAGGCATGGAGACCTGATGATGCTTGTCGTCCTCAAACCCTGCCCAACTTGTCAAAGCAGTATAGTTTTCCAATGAATTCAGGGAGACATTTTGGTTGTGGAGGCTCTGTTTGGGCCTGTAAGAATGTAGGCACTGTCCCCACATCGTGCCCAATATGCTATGAGGATTTCGACTTCACGGACTCTAGTTTTCTCCCTTGTTCATGTGGCTTCCGGCTCTGCCTTTTCTGTCACAAGAGGATTCTTGAGGAGGATGGGCGCTGTCCAGGTTGCAGGAAGCAGTATGACTCTGATACTGTTGATGGAGAGGCAACACAGGATGGAGGCAGCTTGACATTTCAGTTGACTCGTTCTTGTAGCATGATCACTCGGTCTTAGGAGGGTCTCTGTTTCCCTTGAATGTGTATGTTGGGTCCGTCTTTCTCTGTGTTTCTTGCATGTGTTCTTGTTGTTAGAGTCTGGATGTCGTAGTCTTGTATGTTGATATAGAAGGTAGTTTTTGAAGCACAGCGGAATCAATCTAGTATTCTAATGATTTTGGTCCAAATATTTGTATGGCGTGTGTGCTGATGTAGAAGACTTGTTGTGTGAATAGATGAGGTGGTATAGAAAGTTTGGTGATACGTGACCGTGTGTATCTTGATGAATTTTTTTTGTTCACTTGAAGTATAAAATAATAACGTGGAGGAGTTTCTTGAAAGATCTCTCATTTCCTTTAAATATATTCTCTATGAAATTCATGTTTGTTTGTTTCTATGAAGAATCAACAGTAACCATCTTTCGGCTAGTTTTCACCTACTCATGGAAAAGGTAAAAGGGGTAAGAAAAGTAGTTTACACTGTAGTTTTGTCTTTTGATTTTACTTTATTCACTTTTAAGCAAATGAATAAGTTCGAAAATAACTAACATTTCTATTAATCAAAGTTAATAATAAGCAAGTTGATTAATCTAAAATAAACGTAAGGGTAATTTTGGAAGAACATTATTTTTATTTATAAGTAAGAAAAGATAAGTTATCAACTATATTTTTGCGTTTTCTATTACGATATACCACCAAATGCCTCATTATAACAACATACTATCCTTCATGATCTTATACTCGTTTCCAGTACGGTGTATACCGAAAGCACTGGGAGAAAAGAGCCTTGCCATGTTTAATATGAAAAATTAGCTAATACTAAACAGACTTATAGTGAATTGAAGCTTTACTATTCAGTCATGTAATCAACTACCAAACCCATACATTAAGAAGTAAGGAATGTGCGAAGCCAGAGTACGGCTGGATGAACAAAATACCCATTTCCATCCACATACAGTGTGGGGGATTTAACTGCCTTCAAAAACCTAAGATAATCAATAGTAAAATAGAAAAATGCAAAATCGAAGTCTAAAATAAAACTGACATTATATCAAGAACGCAGATGTAACATACTTAAATGACACATTTTGGGCAGAAGTAATAAGGAACTTTTATTAGACATGATCTCAAACTTTGTCCTGAAAGAGCACTTGGCTGGTTCAGGAGAATCATGGATGACACACCTTCGCTTCTCGACTGCTGAAGAATTGACCGTTCACCTTTTCCCCAACTCAGGATTTCCTGTATGGATAAAGTGAATAGGCTCACTTACTGCCACTTCTTGTCAGATAGAGACAGGAGCTGCGAATACATATCATGAAGTGTATGAGAGAAAGTTAAAAGAATGTTTATCGGAAAAAAAGAAGCTATCAAATCGATATCATTTCACTGTATGCTCCATATATGACCACTCCAGAGGGTATCAATTGAGCCACCACATATAACTCAACCAAAAATTTAAGATGACGTTCCCCTTTTTTAGCAAAAAGAACGCCTTTGCGCCACCAAACATACTAATTTGATTAGAGACTTTTTTTTTCCTTCTTCTACCAAGTTGAAAGAAAAAGAAGTATAAAAAATCAAGGAATACGATAGTTATGGGATGTTGGCTACAGTCCACAAACACACACCATCAAGCACACGCCAATAGAACATATATTCAGTAAAATTCGTAACCAACAAAGTCAAGATCATGTTAAAAAATATGCCATTAATAATAACGCGTAGCAATAAAAGCTTCTCTATCTTCCGTAGATCTAGCAAGGTTGTAGAAACACCTATATATTCCTTCATTTTTCTAACCTTCCCAATCTTTTTCTCCGAACAACTCAGTGCATTGAAATTGAAGAAATGACGCTCTAGGTTCAAAGCTCTCCTTTCATCCTTGTGAAGGGCTCCTTGTGAAGGGTGCACTTGAGTGTGGTTGTTTAGCATAGAATTAATTATCCATGATATGTAAACGTGATATATAAATGGAAATTTTGGACCAAAAATATGCCTAGGGACTCCTACAAAAACTCAAGGTTGGAGACTGGTTTGCCAAAAAATTGAAGGGGACCCAAGCACACATTTACAAATAGGCTGGGGACGGTCGGATGCTATTTTTCCAATTATATCGCTAGTAGTAAGGCTTTCGTTATTCAAATTCTTTTATGCCAAGAAAACTTTTTCATTAACTTGTTTTGGCTTCCCAAGCAACTGATTAATCCAATTCCAATTCTCTTATAGACAGCTTTTGTTTCCATCAAACCCATAATATTCAGATAAATTGGCAACTTTTGATATAAGGAAGATTTGAAGGTCATCGGGTAAATCCACCACACGAGCATAATAACCATTTCATCAAAATCTTGCATGGATCAATCTTCCTGGACTTGAGCTTACGATTACTCCCCTTTGGACGTTTTCGCTTCACCATTTCAACATAACTGGATCACCTTCAACAAGTTCCTCCTATGACTCATTAGCTTTAATCACATGATGCACTTATTCATGAATCCTCTTATATATTCAGCAAATACTTTGCATCTTCACTAACTGAAACTTTCAGGGGTAACAGAACCAAGATCCAAACATGCAGAGCCTTGGGACAAAAGCACCTTCAAAAAGAGTTAACAGGCTCCTATTCTCTAATTCAGTTTGACCATCGGTTTGTGGAAGACAAGTTCACCAATAGTGTGATAGTGTCCCAGAACGCCAAAACCGTATCCCACATACTTTAAGCCTATGTATATTATGTTTATGCGTTTCCCTTTTATTACCTTCATTTGTGCCAAATTTTATCCCTTGTAAATTCTCCTTCATGTCTTTTGCTATCTGCTGATCTTGGTTCAACCTAGGAATTCTTCATCATCTCACAACCATGATAAATTATGAGTTGACTATTCAGATAACAAAATCCATGAGTGGATAAGCTTGAACCAAGAAAAAAAAAGTGATAGAAAGAACAAAGGGATATTGAAAGAGATCAAAGTAGAATTTAGTGTTTTGGGCTTTAAAAAAAAAGTAATTAAAAAGTAATTATTATTATTCAATGGAAAACTTATTATTATTAGAAGTAATTCTAATCCTAGCAGGGATCCAAAAGAATACTAAATTCCAACTCCAAATAAGAACAGATCTATAACCAACTAAAGAACTGGAATACATAATACTACGAGCATGTTTAGCTAAGCTTAAAGAGTTTACATATAAGTAAGTTTACACTGTGTGGCACTGAACATGAACCAATGACAGAATCCAACAAGTAATTCATGTAAGAACAAAACTGTAAGAAACTTATCAAAGAAATAATGATTCTAGATTGTCACAAGGCTTCCACCCACCCAATCTGTATGAAAAAACCTATGCAGACACAGAAAAAATAGGCATAACAGCATTAAATGTTTATATCACCAACCTGACGAGCAACTTGCGCCAATCGTCGACTTTCCCGAGATGATTCTGTTATCAAGCTAGACTTTTGCAGCTCCAGCTCCAGAGGATCATTTTGTTTATTCCCCGTTTCCTTCTCCAAAGTGTTCGTTTCAAGAGAAACATTAACCTCAGAGACGCTTAAAGGCTGTCTCTTCCGCTTCCTTTGAAATGTGTACTTGATAATTCTTTCCCCTGCAGATTGTGTAAGCACTGTATTTGATGATCTGCACTCTAATTTTGTTAATGATATATTAACTTTTTCGTTATCCATTTTACAGTCTGGAAACAGTAAACTCTCTGTGGTTCCAGTTTCTTGTCTGATCGGCATTATGTTTTCCATCAACTCTTCATCTTTGTAAGTTGTGTTATGAGCACCATCCGATTCTGCAAGATCTAGTTTTCTTTCAGGCGATAGTGTTGGAATTATCTGGAGAGGATTCCCACTACAACGAGCATTGTATTTGGCTGAATTTTGATCAGTTCTCACACAAAGTTCAGGTGCTTGATCAGATTTCCCAAGAAGACTGGGATGATTTGTGCACGAGGGCGTTGTACCTTTTCTACGTCTAACAGCCCTTTTCTTTTTCCGAAGGGAAGATTTGAAGCTCCAAAGCTTGATATCCGCCAAAAGTTCCTTCTCAAGACAACTTGTGATTTCAGCCCCGTGAGCAGGTCCTGTACAGATATCTTTAGCTTCTTCATACTCTTTGTGAACTATATCATCTTTCACTTTATTAGATTTCTTAGATTCTGTCACTTCATTATCTGTCAAATTCCTTCCTCATGCTCGAATTCTCTATGTGAATCCATTTTTGTATAGGCCATACAAGCTAACTTGTTATTTTGGAATTTTCTGTCATTTGACATGGAAAATTTAAAACAGAATTACATATTAAAGTCAACCAGTAGTCTTAATTGTTAGTTGCACTTTTGCATATGGCACTACGCGTTCCTCTGTCAGCATTATGTTGAATTTGCTAATGGCATGAGATTGGATGACATTGAATATGGTTTCCTTCTTTTCAGTATGCTGTGTTCATCGTCATTTGTCTAAAGTTGCTACCTTTTTTAGCTTAATGTTAGGTACAAGTGTTATGTTAATTAATGTCTACGTCTATCTTGAAATGTATTGGAAGATCATGTTTTTCCCCGGCTTGATATGAAGACCAGTTTTGAAATATTATATTTTGCTTATGAATTATGATTTTGTATAGACATCTTGGTCACCCTTTATACTCGGCTAGAAAATCNGAGAGAGAGAGAGAGAGAGAAGGTTCTAACACAGCAGTAACTATGAATTCATACAGAGGATGAATGACAATCAGCATAGCGTAGTGAAAAGGAGGAAACCATATTCAACATCATACAATCTCATGCAATTAGCAAATTCAAAATAATGGTGAGGAAGGAACACAAAGTGCCATCTCCAAAAGTGCCAAATAACAAAGTTATGACTACTGGCCAACTTTAAAATGTAATGCTGTTTCAAATTTTGCCATGTCTAATGACAGAAAATTCCAAACCTAGCAATTTCATTTTGTATGGCAGCAACTAAATAACTTGTCATTATATGTCTAGATAATTCTATCAACCTATAAGGGAACTTAGAGAACAAAAGCGCTGGGCCAAGTTTACCTGCATTAAAAGTCCTCACTTCAGTTAATCACAAAGGAAACAAAAAATTTAATAAATTGAAATTATCGAGCAAAAAAGGTAATAATTTCCGAAATCTCTTGCATTTAAGCAAAAATGTATTCAATTCAGGGAAACTCATAACCCCTTGAAGGTACAATAATTACCTTACTTAAGATGTCTTTCCTCATAGAAACAAGTATATTTCATCTCAAGGATCAATAATATACATCGCACAAATTCACCCACAAAAGTATGCATAGCAGATGATTGAAAAAAGATTTGAAAAAAAAATTCTCTTCTTTCCCACAACTTGTTACAAGTAAAAGAAATCCAATTAAAAGAGAAAGTATAATCAATTTCAAAACCATTGAGTCACCTTAGAATCCTTCAGTTGTTTAACGTGCAATAGCATCCGCAGCGCCTCCTCCTTTGTCGCCTGCAGCTCGTACTGATAATGTGCTGCCTTTTTCTCAGAAGACATAATCCTAGCTGCGGCCTCCTTCGCTGTGTTCAAAATTATATCGGCGTATGCCTTCTTCAGAGCCGTCAATCTCTGAATCCCAGAACAAAAAAAGAATTACATATCACATACATCAAAATCTAACCCCCACTTTTTTGAATTTTGAACTAAAGTAGAGTAATTGAACTGAAGAAAAAACACATAAACACACACATATAATCAAGAAACCACCAGGAACCAACATAAAAATAAAATAGGGGTTTAACAGAAGATCAAAGTGAGTCCATTAAAAAAAAAAGGAATAAAGTGATGAATTTATAACAAATATATGTTCAAGAAAACACCAAGAACTAGAGTAAACGAAGAAAAAAAATCCTAAAATAAAACTAAAATCTAAACCCATTGTTAAATAGGAAAATCAAGTAAAGAAATTTGAAATCAAACAACATAAACAAGCATAGAAATATCAAAGAAAACACCAAGAACCGGAGCAAATAAAAAGGTGAAGGGAATCCGATATTTATAGATAGAAATGAATGTAGAACTAAAAAACCAAGTAAAGAAATGATAAAACGGGAATCAGTGAAGTAGCTGGTGGATGGTTTAAAATAAAGTGGCGGCGACACCGTGAGGATGGTGTCTGTTGCGGCGGGGATTTACCTCGTCGGCGTCCATTAATGCGGAATTTCCTTCTCTTTCTTTTCTAACGGGTTTCCTCAATTCATCGAAGAGTTGTTGTTTATCGAGGTTTTTCAGACCAAAGAGGAGTTAGTTTTTGTTTCCTCAGTCTGTTATGAACTGGAACTTTTATTTTGTTGCAAATTGCCTCTCGACAAGCTTATAATTACGAAAATGCCAAGGAGGTCACGGTCAGCCGGTCAGGGCTGTTTAGGCATTGGAGCGGTGATGAATGGAACTTGACATGTGGGTCCTCAAAAAGTAATGTTATTCATAGTAAATACCATCGATAATCGCTTTACGTAATATGTATGCGTTTGATGCATGAAATAATAAAAAACTATCTTATTAATATATTAAGTAATAAATTGTCATCCTCAATATATTATTTTATGAAATTTTATCCTTAGTCCATAACCTATTGATCTAGTAGAAAAAAGTCCTTAATCTATTATTTTAGCATTTAAGTTTCCAACTTGTCATTTTTGTTGCACCTTAGTCCTCAATCTTCTTTTTCCACCCTCATCACTCCACCATTCCCAACCACCCCACCATACATACACGACCATATCTCTATTTTACATCTCTCTCTCTCTCTCTCTCTCTCTCTCAGTTCCTTAACCCCTTGAACCCAGCTTACATGTCCTAATGACCAGAATGACCTTATCCTACCACCACTCTCTCTCCCCTATCCTCAATCCGTCTTCCACCCATACATCCCGGTTCCTGCCCTTTCCTGCCAGCCTCCGCCTCCGCCACCATCACCACCCCAACTGTTTCCGCGTCCTCCACCGCCGCCTGAACATAGTTTCTAAGGCCAAGTCCAAAGAACTCATTTTGGGAAACCCAAGCGTCACAGTGGAAAAGGGCAAGTACAGCTACGATGTCGAGACACTAATTAACAAGCTTTCTAGCCTTCCGCCCCGCGGAAGCATTGCCCGGTGCCTTGACACCTTCAAGAACAAGCTGTCTCTCTCGGATTTTTCGCATGTTTTCAGAGAATTCGCCCACCGGGGGGACTGGCAGCGCTCCCTCCGGCTTTTTAAGTATATGCAGCGCCAGGTCTGGTGCAAGCCGAATGAGCATATATATTCCCTTATCATCGGCATCCTTGGCCGCGAAGGCCTCCTGGATAAATCTGCTGAAATTTTTGATGAAATGGTAACCCATTCTATTCCTCGGACTGTTCTTTCATACACTGCCATTATTAATGCCTATGGCCGTAATGGTCAGTACGAGACAGCACTAGAGTTACTTGATAAAATGAAAAAAGAGAGGATAATTCCGAACATTTTAACTTATAACACTGTAATTAATTCATGCTCGCGAGGTGGGTATTCATGGGAAGGGTTGTTGAGTTTGTTTGCAGAAATGCGGCACGAGGGGATTCAACCGGATTTGGTTACATATAATACACTGTTGAGTGCATGCGCAAGTAGAGGTTTAGGTGATGAGGCTGAGATGGTGTTTAAGACAATGAATGAGAGTGGAGTATTACCTGATATTACTACTTATGGTTATTTGGTGGAAACCTTTGGGAAGTTGGGGAAATTGGAAAAGGTTTCCGAGTTGCTTAAGGAGATGGAAGCAGGAGGGAATTTGCCAGAGATAATGAGTTACAATGTGTTGTTGGAGGCGTACGCGCATTCAGGGAAGATAAAGGAGGCGATGGGGGTGTTTAGGCAAATGCAGGCAGCAGGGTGTCTGCCTAATGCAGGGACATATAGTATTTTATTGAATTTGTTTGGGAAGAATGGGAGATATGATGATGTGAGGGAGCTTTTTCTTGAGATGAAGGTGAGTAACACGGAGCCGGATGCTGATACTTACAACATACTTATTAAGGTGTTCGGTGAAGGAGGCTATTTCAAGGAGGTGGTGACTTTGTTCCATGATATGGTAGAAGAGAATATCGAGCCAAATATGGAGACTTATGAGGGGTTGATTTTTGCATGTGGAAAGGGAGGGCTTCATGAGGATGCGAAAAGAATTCTGCTTCGTATGAATGAGAGAGGATTGGTACCGAGTTCGAAGGCATATACTGGGGTGATTGAATCATATGGTCAAGCAGCACTGTATGAGGAGGCTCTAGTTGCTTTTAATACAATGAATGAGGTTGGCAGCAGGCCAACAGTCGATACTTTTAATTCTCTGATTCAAATGTTTGCTAAAGGGGGCCTTTACAAGGAAAATGAAGCAATTTTGTATAGGATGGGTGAGTTGGGTGTTCCACGGAATAGGGATTCATTTAATGGTTTGATTGAAGGGTATAGGCAGGGAGGGCAATTTGAAGAGGCCATCAAGGCTTATGTTGACATGGAAAAGTCAAATTGTGATCCTGATGATTGTACCCTTGAGGCAGTCTTGAGCGTGTACTTCTTTGCGGGTCTTTTTGACGAGAGTGAGCAGCAGTTTCGGGAAATTAAGGAGCTGGTTATACAGCCCAGTGTCATGTGCTACTGTATGATGCTGGCAGTCTATGCAAAGACTGACAGGTGAGACTTCAATTGGCTGTTGTTAGGTTTTTCATTCATTTTAAATGTGCGTATTTATAATAATCTTGCTGTATATGTAGTTCTCCTTGTAACTGAATCAGAAGAACTAAGACAATGATCTCTTTCAAATATGCATATTTATAGTACTCTTGTTGTATCTGTAGATGTCCTTCCAAATGAATCAGAAGAACTAACACGATAGTCTCTCTTATATGCTGCAAATCACGTCAACTTCTTGGTGCATATTTTCTTGATATTTTATTAGGTTTTCTACAAGTTTATGCATGAGTTTGTCCTCTTTGTGGTGTGTAAACAAACTCAAGGTTTTCTCCCCCTTTATTCATAGGAAACTCGTGTTTATTTATACAAAGAACTAATACTATATTAGGGTATAAATTAGGGCTAAATGTCTAAATGTATTTACTTTACTATTTCTAGAAATAGTTTCTAACACTCCCCCTCAAGTTGGAGCATAGATGTTTATCATGTCCATCTTGTTACAAAGATAATTCACCCGAACCCCATTTAAAGCATTTGTGAAGATATCTCCCAATTGTTCTCATGTTTTTACATACCCTGTAGAAATCAAACCTTATTTAATCTTCTCACGAACAAATAACAATCAATCTCAATATGTTTCGTTCGTTCATGAAAGACTGGATTAGATGCAATATGAAGTGCAACTTGGTTATCACACCATAACTTAGCCGGTATTGAAGTCTCGAGGCCTACTTCGGTGATGAGCTGATGTATCCACATTATCTCACACACGGACTTAGCCATAGCCGTGTATTCTGATTATGCACTTGAACGTGAAACTACACTCTGCTTCTTACTTTTTCATGAAACCAAATTTCCTCCAACAAATTCACAGTAGCCGGATGTAGATCTTCGATCTTCCTTGGATCGTGCCCAGTCAGCATCTGAAAAACATTCAATCCTGGTATGACCATGATTGCCATACAGAATTCCTCTCCCAGGTGCTCATTTTAAGTAGCATAAAATTTGTTCTGCAATTCTCCAATGATCGACAGTTGAGAAAGACATATACTGACTTACCACAATAACTGAATAGGCAATATCTGGACAAGTCACAGTAAGGTAGTTCAACTTCCCAACCAATATTCTATATCATTCAGGATCTTCAAACAATTCGCCATCTTTTGTAAGCTGCAAATTTGGAACCATTGGAGTGCTTTATGGTTTAACCCCCAATTTTCCTGTTTCAGTCAACAAGTCGAGCACATACTTTATTTGAGATAAGAGGATCCCTTTCTTACTTCTCGTCACCTCAACCCCCAAGAAATACTATAGTGTGCCTAAATCCTTTGTGTGAAATTGATTGTGAAGAAAGGATTTGAGAGATGAAATACCACCAGAATCACTCCCAGTAAGAACAATGTCATCAACATAGATGACTAATAGAATGATGTCAGCTGCAGATTGCTTGTAGAAAATAGAATGATCGGACTTACTCTTCTTCATGCCAAAACTTTCAATAGCCTGACTTAACTTTCCAAACCAGACTCGAGGACTTTGTTTCTAGCTATTCAAAGATTTTTTAAGACGACAAACTTTTACATACTCCCCTTAAGCAACAAAGTCATGTGGTTGCTCCATATAAACTTCCTCCAGCCGATCACCATGAAGGAATGCATTCTTAATGTCTAACTGCTGCAGAGGCCACTAACTGATGCAGAGGCCAATTATACGTAGCTGCCATAGAAATAAATAATCCGATCGACGTAAGTTTAGCAACAGGAGAGAAGGTGTCAGAGTAATCCACCCCATAAGTTTGAGCATATTCCTTAGCAACAAGCCGAACTTTTAATCTAGTAACAGTCCCATCCGGATTGACTTTAATCGCAAACACCCATTTACATCCAATAGCCTTTTTACCTATAGATAAGTGTACTAAGGTCCAAGTACCATTGTTATCTAAAGCATTCATCTCCTCAATCATAGCATTACGCCATCCAGGATGAGATAGGGCATTATGAACAGTTTTAGGAATAATAACAAAATCAAGAGACGCAACAAAAGAACAAAAGGATGGTGATAAATGGTTATATGACACAAAAGAAGATACTGTGTAAGTACATTGGCGTTTACCTTTGTAAAGCGCAATAGGAAGATCATCGCTCGAACTGGGACCTGGATCTGATGACGAAGGAACCGGTGCAGGACATGAAGCAGGAGGTGAAGGAACATGAACCGGGTCAGGGGTAGTAGGCTGTTGGCGGCGAGAGTAAACCTGTGTTATAAGAGGCTTAGCAGCAGCACATGGAGGAAGATCAGAGTTAGGGGATGTACAAGTATAGACTAATAAATTATCGCCCTCCCACATACTGATAGAACTTGAGGATGAAGCAAACGGCGTTTGTTCTAGAAATGTGACGTCGCAGACACAAGGTACCTGTTAAGTTTGGGACAGTTTTTGCACACGAGAATAGCCAAGAAATATACATTTTAGAGATTTGGGATCAAGTTTTGTAACATGAG